TATGCTACGATATTATAATCCAATGCCATTGTATGTTATCTACACTGAAATGGGTTCTTGCTATTCTCAGCTGCTATCTATATGATGAACAACTGGACCATCTATGCCACCCACTTGGTCTTTATATAGTCATCACAAGTCCCAAATCTGTGTAAATCACGAATCAAGCGACACACTGACTCACAGGAACTTAATAGGCGTCAAATTGTTGAAAACTATAGTCGACCAATCTTGCTTATTTTTGTATGGTTGCTGGAGGACAGAAACATCCTCAGCATTGAAACATCATGAGGTACTGTCAGGAGGAACACCACCCCCACCCCAGATATCTATATCTATATAATATAAATATATATATATATATATATATATATATATATATACGTATATAATAATAGTAGCAGGGCTTTATCCAGAATATTAGAAATGCTCTGGTCATGAGTTCAATTCCCTGTGATAGATGATAGTCTGACCAGATATCCCAAATTAAAGTCTCTGAAATGTTTCAATTATTTTCAATGGTTCGATTAGATTTATTCATATGTTTCCTGTATATTTAATTTCATTCAGTCAGTTTAAAGGCATTCGTATCTCTGGCAGGATTCAAAATGGGGAAATACTGAAAAATATCTTCTGTTGGTCTGGAAGTAGTCAAATGTAACTATAGCGAGTATAAAAAAACAAGTGGAATTGAAGTGAACTACCCACAATGTGTTTTTATTCTTTTACATGTAGAAGTAACACTAACCCCCCAGGTTGCTTAAACCGCCAAAGTTCCAGGAAAAAAAGAAATACCAGCGCCATGACCTCACTGTCCTCAGGGTACGGCTCTGCTAATACAAATGCCAGTGAGATAATAGATTTTTGGTACTATTATCAAGAACGCTTCTTTTTTTCCCCCAATACCTCAGTTTGATGAATATGAACATGCTTTTCAACAAAACCCTTATTTCTTTTTACAAAATATGGGAAGTGTGTCAGTGCATCAGCATTTACATCCTTACAAGAACTACCAAAATAAGACGCCATCTAAAATAAGCTAAGAAACTAGTTCCAGAAGTTCCAGTTTGACTTTCTGTTGTCATGTCAGCCTAATGAGATGAATGTCTACTGATTTTATATATATTTTGATGGCTGTGCAGCTGTAAGATATGAATTAATGAATAGTTTTATTTTTGCATGTGGCCATTTACACAACCAATCCCTCATGGGACTCTTCAGACACGTTAATCGACAGCAACAAACAGCACAATATGTTGATCTCATGCACATATGAATACCCTACATATACTGTAATGTCCCAGTAAGTTAAATCAATACTGAATACAGTATAAATTTATTATACAAATTTAAACAAACATAATACAAACAAAACAAAATGTACATATATTTATGCACAGTAACATTACTTGTCCTTTGCTCCTGTAATTTATTGTCCATATTTGAGTTTTTATTATATATTTTATTAAAATGATATAGTAGATTATTTAATGAATACAGTAAATGAAGTTAAAGTTAGGTAGTTCTATCTGAATTAAGTAACTTTTATTAGGTTGCTTTAAAGCCTAAATACATGTGCAGACTCATAACCCTGTTATTGCTGAAATGACAAACATTTCATTGATTAGTGGATTGACAGAAAATGAACTACAATAATTGACCATTTTGATGTATTTTGTGAAGTGAAAATCTTCGGGGTTTTAGACCGTTGGTCGGGAAAAACAATCCATCTGAAGACGTCACATTGGGCTCTGGGTGCTTTGCTTTATTTCCTGACATTTTATACACTGACCAGTTCACATTAAAACCCTGTTCAGTCCAGTAAACCACTTTAATGTCCCCATTTCTTTTTATCTTCTGCAACATGCCCCTATCTGCTAACTGAACAGGACACTTGGGTTGATGAAAATCATTCCCTCAAATGGACCGAGCCGGCTGTTTGTCTCTTTTATGAAACTGCTTTAAAATATTCACCCAGTAGAAAAGGAGGCTGTTGGTAACGGCGCGCACACAGCCAAATGTAATTTCCAGTGTGTACATGGAAGTGCTCGGGCCGCATAAAGGTTCTTTGTGTCCTCCTGAGCGTTCCCAAGCTGCCTGAGATCACACTGAGGGTGGTTCGTGTTTGTGCCACTGACCTGTCCCTGCGAGACGCTCGAGGGTGAAAAACAGCCACGTTTGAATCCGCTTTCCACACCCCAACTCCCAACCCCATGACCCAGCAGTTAATTGATAACAGGGAGACAGTCGCGCCGTGACTTCCTCTGTGAATCAACACACAGGAGCACATATGAGCGTTTGCTTTGGTTCGTTTTGAACGAGAGAGGCTCCAGGAGGTTAATGTTGTCATGTTTCTTCCCAGAGGGCAGTTTTTCTGTCCGACATATGACTTAAGTGGAAGTAAGATATAATTTGCTGGTTATTGATTCATTTCTTCTTGTCTCACTCTCCAAATTAGCTGCTGTTCTCTTGGTTTTGGTAGCACGTGACTGTGTGTTGAAAGATTCAATATTCTGCACTAATGGAGCCGTTTGTAGCCTATAAATGTATAAAAGAACAACCAATTTTGCCCAAATCAGGATTCTAATCATCTTCTAGCACGTTGAGTGTTGTGGCCTGTGTTGAAAGGAGATCTTAAGAGCTGATGAGAGCTGCGGTGCTGATTCATTACTGTTAGGGAATAAGCTGCTCGGTGCAGACACTCTGACGATAATGAGCTGCCCTTCAGGATTATTTATGCCTGTTTTTCAGATGGAGATTTGCAAGGCTCCCCTGGCCTCCTGTGCTTTGAATGGCTGACTCAGCATTCAGCCTAAATGTATCATAGACAACATGAATAGATTAATAACCTGAAATGGTAAACACATTAGTCCACGCTGTGTTTTTTTAAAGCACATGTCTGCTAGAGTTTAATACACTCTGATAGCAAACAGAGAGGATTGAAATTATTTATCTTTGGCGGGGTTTGATAAGGTGCACGTCATATATTTGGATCTTAAGTATGTCTTGGAAGTTTTCCATCTTGTTTGTTTAATCTGTTCTAAATCTGTTCACTAAGCCTTTCTTGATTTGTGCTCATAAATACGTCATTTATAATATTCTCGACT